ATAACGGCATTAAAACACTCTGCTACTAAGGTGCTAAAATTCTTATTGTAAGCGCTAAAGGTAAACATTAACGTCCAAAACAAAGCTCAGGAGAGCGCTTTATAGTATACTATTAAGTATAGTACCTACCGTACTCTTCTGGAGATAGTAGTTACCTATCCGGGCATTAGGGTAGACCTAAGACACAGATAAGGTCGAACGGCGCTCTACCGAGTAGTCTGGGCGGGTAGGATTAAACTCGTGTAGGTGTTACTTTCTTATAGTAGCGATCTTAATACTAAAGATAATCGCGGCCACTCGCTATAGGACTAGGTATACTATAGTAACCGGTCTTCTATAAAGAGAATATTCAGAAGGGAATCTAACTCTAGGTTCTCTTTCGATCTCGGTCTTATCTACTACGATCACCTACCCCTTTATTAAGCTATATCTTATAGTTCGATAGATTCTATATAGCTACTGCTAGAACAAAAAGATATAGACCTCGAAGCTTACGATTAGGACGGCAATACACCGCTCTATCTTGCGGTCCGGAGCTAAAGCTAGGAAGCGATAGATTTACTGCTAAGCTATTGAGATATTAGGGTAAATTACAAAGATAAGAATAGTAACACGCCGCTCTAGTTATCTATATACCTATTATTGGAATATAGACCAATGCTACATAGAAAGATCTATCCTTATATTCAACATATAAGACCAGGATTGTATTGATCACGTGACCAGATGTTTCCTTCTATCAAAATGATATTTTGACCACTTCTGATTCTGGTCCGCGGCCCTCTCCCGAATGATAGGCAGGACCATTTTCCTTCAGAGGTAAATGGTCCGCCTTTAGACATGAATAGTCCGTTCCTTCGGAGGTGCCTTCGGGCATATCTTGCCCGCGGACTTCGACCATGGTCTTCGAACCTCGGTGAACAGACTTCGACCCTCAGTTCCCTCAAGGATAGGCGGACCACTTTCCCTTAGGGATAAAATGGTCCACCTTTGGGTATGCATAACCAGATACTGCGGGGAAGCTTTCGGGGTGGCTTAAACCGTCGATCCTTGACATCATTCTTTTGGCTTTTCTTCGGTTCCCTTCTTTGCCACCTTTATTATGTTGCTGTCTAGTATTTGTATGTTATTCTAGAGCGTCATTTCTAGGCTATTTTAGCCTATAAATATGTCCTTCTTTTCTAGCAGAAAGAATTAAGTCAGTTCTACTTTCCTGAAGTCATTGTCCACTTTCCAAATAGTCATCTCTACCTTCTTCCTTTGATCCTCAGGACGGTGGTTCTGTCTTCGTTTAGGCTATATCTGCTTATAGTCTATCCTACGACCTTTGACCTTCTTCCTTTGTCTGGCACCGACTGACCTGGCCGGACTAAGGTTGATCCCACGGACTTAAGGGGCCACGATCTGCTTCGTGGTAGCTTTACCCTTTTAGTCCAACATTATGCTTACTATCTGTACGAATTTCTAGGTTCGCTATCTTGCTATTTATATTAATATAAGCCCGCAGCGTCGCGAAGCCTTCTATAATCTTTAGCCTAATAAGCTACAGCTTATGCCTATCTAGGACGTACGAACACGATAGAACTCGATATATCTTATACTTCGCTGGGCTAAGAGACTCTAAGCTACTTTCGATACCTTTTACTCGCAGTACGACTAACCTTATTTTGCACTTAGCGCAGAAGAGTAGCGATAAATCGACTACCTCCTATTTATCCTATAGCCCTTCTATAAATATATAACTATCGTTTATACGACTAAAGACTTAAGTATTCACTTAGTCTTTAGTTTCTATAATAAGCTTTTTAATTATCTTAAAAAGTCTATTCGTTAACTCTAGCGAAAGAAGGTTACGTGGAAGTAGCTTATGCTTTCCTCACTAAAGGCGGCGTAAGAGAAGCTATTAAAATACTATAGTATAATAGATAGTGTGAAAGGCGACCTTTATACTATTAGTACGATCTTAGCGCCCGCGAATAAGCTATAGTTCTTTTTAATAAAGGACTAGGAGTCGGACGACCTAGAAAAGGACTAAAAAAGAATTTACCGCGAGAGTCTTAAGTCTTTCTTTAGGTCGTACGACGAGCGTCTTCCGTAAGATAGGCTATAATTAGATAGCTAATTATTAATAACGACAATAATAGATACGGATTTAATATTTAAAGTCTTATAATAATTACTACCTCCGTAACACGATAAGCTTATAAGATATCTTAAAAGTCGTACGTTCTTCCCCTCTTTCTTACTAGACTACACTAAATCCTCCTTTTAGTAACCGTACGAGGCTCCCCTTAGATATTCTGGAAAGGGTATAAACGCGAGTTTCCCGTACTTATAAGCCTTACGTGGGATATAATATCGATTCTAGTAACTGGAGTAGGGGTAGAACGCCTCTTTAATTCTGCCCGGGATATCTATTATTATCGACGAGGCTCATTAAAGCCAAAGATAATTCGTGATATTATACTCTGAATATATATAATAAGATTTAACCTTTATAAGCAGAAGTGGCTTATCCTATAAGAGTATCTCTTGTATTAAGAGATTATAGCGATAGCTAAGGCTAATAAAACCTAGGACGAATCTTTTAATCTAATTAGTGATACTAAGGAGGACAACGTATAGGCTTAGGATAGGGAGTCGCTTTCACAATCTTTTACGACGATAGTTGATCTTAAAGGGATAGAGATTATAGATTATAATAAGGATAATAACGACGATGCTAACCTTCCTCTACCTAATACCTAATAGCGTGTATTTAGTAGGAAGCGTAAGCGCTCAAAGCTACTTAATGGCTACGTACTTAGGTCTCAATGATTTATTATTTATTCTGTATACTAATCTAATTATACGACGTTTTTCTCTGACTTCAAAAAGCCTAATACTATAGCTAAAGAAGCCTATTTCTGACAGCCGTCAGAATCTACTTATGCCGTAGCTCCTAGTCCCTAACACCTTTTTCTGACAGCCGTTAGAAAAGCTAACGCTTTAGCAAAATAACCCCTAAATGATAACGGCCGTCAGAAAATAGAACTACTCAGTATTAAAAATTACAAATGAATACATAGAAAAACCCCCGGAATCCGTATAACTTATGCATAAACGAGTAAGTCACGTTTTCTACCTGTTTGTCCTGTTTGTGGACCCTGAGGGTCCGGAGGGTCACCCGCGGGTGAGTGCCAGGTCTAGTAAGGCATACCCGAGGGCATACCCGAAGAAACAGACTATTAATGCTTAAAGACGGACTATTTACCCCTAAAGGAAAATAGTCCCGCCTATCCTTTGGGGGGTCGATGGACCATTGCCCAGTCGGACGCGGGCCAAAATCAAAAGTGGTCAGAACCTCATTTTAGTGCAGAAAAAGTTTGGTCATGTGATCGATGTTTGGTCTTATATGTTGAATATAAGGATAGATTTTTCTATGTAGTATTATCCTATATTCTAATAATATTTATTGGAATATAGACCAATGCTACATAGAAAGATCTATCCTTATATTCAACATATAAGACCAGATTGTATTGATCACGTGACCAGATTTTTTCTTCTATCAAAATGATATTTTGACCACTTCTGATTCTGGTCCGCGGCCCTTCCCCGAACGATAGGCGGGACTATTTTCCTTCAGAGGTAAATGGTCCGCCTTCAGGCATGAATGGTCCGTTCCTTCGGAGGTGCCTTCGGGCATATCTTGCCTGCGGACTTCGACCATGGTCTTCGAACCTCGGTGAACAGACTTTGACCCTCGGTCCCCTCATGGATAGGCGGACCGCTTTCCCTTTCAGGATAAAATGGTCCACCTTTGGGCATGCATAACCTGATACTGCGGGGAAGCTTTCGGGGTGGCTTAAACCGTCGATCCTTGACATCATTCTTTTGGCTTTTCTTCGGTTCCCTTCTTTGCCACCTTCATTATGTTGCTGCCTAGTGTTTATACGTCATTTGTAAGATATTCTAGACATCATTTCTAGGCTATTCTAGCCTATAAATATATCCTTCTTTTCTAGCAGAAAGAATCAAGTCAGTTCTACTTTCCTGAAGTCATTTTCCACTTTCCAAAAGTCATCTCTACCTTCTTCCTTTGATTCTTAGGACTGTGGTTCTGCCTTCGTTTAGGCTATATCGGCTTATAGTCTATCCTACGACCTTTGACCTTCTACCTTTGTCTGGCACCGACTGACCTGGCCGGACTAAGGTTAATCCCACGGACTTAAGGGGCCACGATCTGCTTCGTGGTAGCTTTCCCCTTATATCCTAACAATATTTAAATCTAAAATGTACAGCAGTCAATTATTCTAGCAAACCCTAACTCTATACTAAAGGATACTAACTAAAATGCAGTCAATTTAACCGCAGTTCACCCCATGGGATAGGCACTAGAACTACCGGTTCTTAAGATTTAGATCGGTCTAATCATAGTGTAGTATAGCCCGGGCTATCTCCTAGTTTCTATTCCGCGTGGCTATACAAAGCGCAGTGTTGTGAATCGTCCTCGTTGGCTGGTTGATCTGCAGACGTTCGCCCTACTGAATCGAGAGACGCACCGCTTCTAGCTGGTCCCTTTCTACGGCCTAACAAATCGGCGGGTCTTCTAACCTGCTGGCGTTGATGTCCACGCGGCCCGTGTTCATAAGCACCTTCATCGCGTTGACGCGTCCGTGCGCACACGCGAGGGCAAATGCGGGCGCGATCCACAGCGAACGTCTCCTATTGGTCGAGCTTAATTGTTGACAGGTCACGTGCCCACCCAGATCACTAGGATGTTTGCGGGCGAACTCGAACTTTCGAGGGTTGCTGCAGGCGACCGTGTTTACCTTTTTGTGTCTTTTGTTGACGCGTCTACCCGTACGCGTTTCTATTCTCTCTATGTTTGTGACGTTCGTGCATGAATGCCCTTATGTCTTAGCAAATTTCCTTTCTTATTGTTTCATTTCTTTGTTTACATTGCTTGTACCATAATTATCACGAATTAGGGATTTGAAGGCTCTCAAGAATTTAAATCATAATCCAAACGGATAAGTACTCTCCTTTCCCAACCCTGTTATTGGTTCATGTTTTTCCAACGGTTGTACAGCTTGTGTACAATCAAACCATACATACGAATCGAACTGATTGGACAGGTCAGCCGCCGAATAGTGAGACAGCCTCTCCGTCTCAGGTTTGTATATTACACCAATGAACCTTTCGAGCCTGTCAGGTTCCTCTCTCAACGCACGCGCCAATTTCGAATCAACACAATCCTGTCGCAAATCGAGCAGGAAACTCGGAATCCCGGTCTCATGGGCTATGTATTCCCAACTATCTTGTCGTGATGGTAAGACTGTCATTTCTTGCATGTCTTCATCCCATTCATGTGCTGCCGCCACAGTGCCTGTGTGTGTCCCACACCCTAAGAGAGCAACATTTTCGCGGCCGAATTTTTCACGACATAGCTGGCCGATGTTGACTTCTTTGCGCTTGGTTCCCATGCTGGTATATCGTGCATCGCCACAGTGGGAGTTGTGAGCCCATACCACGGACTTTACGGCCTTGTTTCCTGACGATTTATGTTGAATGATCCGATTTAAGGTCTCGAACATATGTGCATCACGCAAGTTCCAAGATGACGCCGAGTTGTAGTACATGGCTTTGTAATACCTCTCAGCGTCACGCACCAGGTGCGCATTCTGCGCAGTACTATGGTATTCCTCGCCATCTTGTGCATGTTTTGCATATTTCAGACGGCTTATCAGAAGTTCGCATAGCATGTGCACAACACTTTGCTCACAATCTGTCATACCAGACAGGGCTGCTAGCCCATATGCCGTGGGATCATCCACCCATCTTTCAAGACAACTATAGCGTTGGCGCGCAGTTTGGCCAGCAGCTGGATCAACGTGGTCAAGGTAGTTGATTACTGCTTGGATTGACGCGCCCATGCTGTAAAGGTCGAGCCCATAGAATCCAACTTTCTGATCATCCGGCTTGCCAATATTACGACTGTGCATCCACTCAACTAGTTCTTGCATTTCGCGGTTTCGCCACATCCATGTCGGAAAGCGTGTAAAAGGATCATAGCCTTTCGGGTGGCCTCCAATGTGGGATTTGGACCCGGGACGCTGGCGCACATAACGGTCGATTACCTCTGCGTCTGGCCAGTCAGCCTCAACCGCAACTACGGTGAAGCCGTGATGATCGATCAGGCGTTTGGTGATTTCTGCTCGAGCGGCGTAGAATTCTGATGTTCCGTGGCTACCGTCACCGAGAAGAACGACCTTAAATTTACCCAGATTATCGAAGTACGAGCCAAAGCCGGAGCTATTGATAGGAGGTAAAGGGCGAGCAGTGGCAGCAAATAATTCCTTTATATGTGACATTGTGAACAGGATGAGTATCTCGAACTGGGCCATATGGGTTTTGCTGACTTGTATCTATATACTAGAAATCAGTACAAATTTAGGCGCCGATTTCAACAGATCTCGTGGTATATGAAATCATTTGCAAATTAATAATCGTCACGGTGACTTCATTTTGATGACAACAAGCCGGAAAATCTAAACCTTCCACACGCCACATTTTATTTCGCCGCCAACATCACGCCTGGCATAAATCATTTAATTGTAAGCATGCAACTCATATGTCCGCTTCCTGCCGTGCAATCCATTCTGAAAATTGCCTTGACCAATAGCTATATCACTGGTTCGTGACCCACATAAACCCGCAATAATACAACCATCATACACATGCCACCATCATACACATGCCACAAGACTTATCGTCACCTGATTATCCAGTTCCAGGGTACGATTAGGGCTAGACCTGTCTACGCCACGCGATACCAGCTTTGGCTTTTTTTTTTTGTTTCCGCCCGAGATGCTCAAATTGTCGTATATAAAGTTATATGTGGGTCTATGTAGTATCTCCAGTTCAACGAGAAAGCCCAATGATGAACAGACCAGCCTCCGGATCCAGTGAAGATACGCATCTGCCTTTGCCGGCTTTATATGGTATCCTCATTATATTTGCTGCCCTTATAATTTTGTGTGTGTCTTTCTGCAGTCTCTCGATATCAACTAATGAATTACATGTAATAGAGCGTTCTGGAACACCAGCACTGTGTGCTCTCCGACGCCATATACAGAAACGTTAACTGTCTGCCACCTCTCAACTGAAGATTACAGATCCCAAAGACTGGCAAAATTCGAGCAAGCGGCGTCCAAAAAACCACTAATCGTATGGTGGGCATCCGTGCAAACTGAGCAGGATAGTTTAAAGAACTTTGATCGCGCATTCAACTGGTAAATTTCTTAAACACTTAAGTCTACATAAGTTAAGCAAATGTTGATACTAAATTAGTCCCATTTGTCTCGATGTGGTCTCAAAATCACAATTAATTCACACGCTACCATGCCGCCACGGATTCCACGATCATTGTCTTCAACAATGGATTCTTGTCGGTCATAATAATTGTCCTTTATGTCTCAGGTCATTGTTTCAGGTTGACTATATGGTTTGAAATTGATACCAGTATATTAAATTTCAATGCCATCTAGATCGAACAAAGAGTCATCTTTGGAAACCTAACGCCACGCAAATGAATGTCAAGAGACCGACCCATGGGAAGTGAGATAATTAACGTGTGAGGTAATTAACATACACCATTAAATTAGCCAGAAAGTCCATTTTCTCCTTGCTGTGGGTTTGAGATGATGGGGATCTCCATAGGACAGACACCATCTTTCAGGTTTGCATGGGGGCCTACTCGGTTGATGGCCGCTGGACAGTTGAAAGTTCGTTGGAAGCCTCCTCTGGACCTCTCCCATACTCTCCGCGAATCCATGTCCGATATGGATTCGCGCTCACTATGAAACTTTGCATTCAGGCAATATTTTCTTGGATTACAATGTCTAAATCTATCTGTTGAGCCATATTACTGACCCATCCTCCCATCATGGCCAGCTGATACCCGCCATCTACTGGGCTGAGTACGTGCCAATCCTAACCGCTCAATTCGCTGGCTTCATCTCATTGTTGTTTTCTACATGTACCGAATGGTCGTAAGTATCCCCTCTTGCTACAAAACAGACAAAACCCCCCTATCTACGCCTACATGAGGATTGCAGCACAACTCCCTGATGACAAAGGATGCCGAGCCTGACTAAAATATGCCCTCGTCTACTAGTCCCCCCAACGGCCCATGGGACTCGTTGGATCGGAAACATGGCAGATACTTAGTTTCTCTCCAATAAACGCTTTTGAGTTTATACATGAGCCTGCACATCTATCTATGCGCTGTACAGGACCTTAATAAGTCATTTCGAGAAAGAGAGCAGCGATTGTTTCCATGATACATGCCCATAGCTCCCTGCACAACATAAAGAAGTGCTAAGTAGCTCATCATAGTCCCCAAGCTTAGTAATTTCCTGCCTTTGGGGATTTGATGTTAGCCGATATAACGTCACACATATCAGTCATATTCAAATGGATATACTTCAGACGCTATTCCATTACCAAATTCGGAAATGCTTCCTTACTTCGCGTTAACACCAATTGGTTATGGATGGAGAAAACACGGTACAATGAAGAACAAATCATCAACAGAGATACATTCGCACATTGTTGTATCTGACCAGAAGTCTCCCTGATAAGGTCAAGTCATTTCCCTGGCTTGCAATTTTTGAGAGACACCGTCAATCTTTCTATTACAATTCTGAACCACACGGCTCATCAAGAAGGAATTGTCATCATTGCGCTCTAAGCAAATATGTTTTTCTGCTATATTAAACGGAAGCCATAACGAAGACCTGGATTTTGGTGGTCTCTTTATTGCGTAATATGTAGCTGGGGGAAAGTCCGTTGAGGTTTCAGGCGTGGCTTTTCCATTTGCGTATACCCCTTGAGAATCGGACATATCACTGATAGATTGTTACGAATCAACTGGGAATCCAGTGAACGGATTGACATGTATTGTCACATGATACTCTAGTCTAGACCTAGATCAAAGAACTGTGGACGTCATCTAGAACGGGATGACTTCATTCTGACCAGGTAACGCAAGAGGCGCACCTCTGGGGAAGGGGAGAGTGACATAATCAACAACTGTAGCTATCAGAATATCGAGGACTAAAGCATGCACCTTCACCCTGGTGGATTCTGGACTCAGCCGCCACTAGCCACATCTGCTGGGACCGGAGCTGCTTCGGATGATCAAGATCAGCGAGCCGAAACTGTAAGACTCTTGGGGCGTTTGCCCGGTTTCCGTTCGCGGAGGCTCTGAAAACAATTAGCCTTAAGACTTTATGAGCTAGAAATGGTCGAACTTAACCCCACTGCCGCCGTGGCGGACCGAGGCTTTTTCGACGATCGAAACTAAAACAGATAGAGAAATTCAATGGAATGGGCTGAGGCTGCACGGTCTAGCTCGGACATCGTCGTAAACTCTGACGCATCAGGATACTAAGGTCACTTATACGCTGCAGCCGCGGTGCTCGCCGACTCGCTAAAAACAACTGAGAAAGTACAGATGTAAGTCGCATCTATGAACCGATGTTCAGTGCATGCCACTGAAGCGATTGGAATTCTATACGCTATTAACATCATTAACAAGATCGCCCTCCAACGTCGGAGATTAACTGGAGTGCGAGTGAGATTTACCACCATTCTCAGCGACAGTATGTCGGCGCTACAAGCAATCCAGTCATCAGGGAACAAATCTGGGTAGCAGTTTATCTACGCTATTGTACAGGTAGCCAGAAATACCCAGACTCACGGCGTCGCTGTCCGACTCTGCAGTAGATACCCGAACATTGCGAAGCACCCAGAAACGACGCTACGGATCAACTCGCTAAAGAGGCGGCCATACTCGGCAAAACCCACCAATTTTCCATATTGCTATCACGCAAGATGGCCCACATTAGAAATGGAATCTACGCCTATTGGGAGAGGAAATGAAGAGAGTCATAGGATGGCGACTACCTCGCAAAATCGACAATGCTTTACCGACTAAATACACAAGACAGCTCCACGGATCCCTACCAAGAAATCGAGCGTATCTACTGTCGCAACTGCGAGGGGGACATTTCCGGTTGTCAACATATACAAAGGCCGTCCGCTTCCGTCGACCCTGTTGGAAGGACCTGGAGAAGGAAGGAGAGGTAACTCGATAATGCTTCACGTGTCATGACGGTGGAGGCTGTCCTGGACTTTGCGAATGCTTCATAGCGATTTCGAATCCGCGCGCCATGAGGGCAAAACATCAAGAACGGCGACGAGGCCACGGCAGGCCCCAACGAGGCTCTAATTTCGTTCAGGGAGGGGGTACACGACATGTGAACATACAGCGATATATATAGTTGTGGTAGCCTGAATATCGCTTTTTGCAAGAGGTCAGGGTAAGTGACATTAACGAACCAACCAACTGTAAACGAAATCAATGATTCGAGACATTAAGTTGCAACAATGCAGGTATCTTGATAGATCATCGATCTGCAACGTAGAAAGATCTCCGCCTAATCTATATCTTAGACACTCCTACTATAAACTAATGGCGCTGTCACTTGCCCTTGTAGCACGTCTCCTTCCTTAAGTGTGCCTTCTCCGCCCTTTCACACCCATAGTGATAAAGATTACTGCGTTCCAGAATCCACGTAGAGAACTCAAGATAGCTGTAGCCAGCAGAAGTGAGTATGATGCATAGGCAGGGTGGTAAAAAGAGCGAACGCGGAAGATGGTTGGCGGGATCCACGTCGATAACAAGACTAAGAAGAAAAGTGACGGAATGATGATATATTGTCTTAATGACAAGCTCCGTTGCCTCGGAGGCTCAGATTGCATATGACTCGGTGGTCGAGGCGTGGAAGTCCGTTCTATACCAAGCTGGATTGTGATTTGTTGTGGATTTGGAGCGTTTATAGCTTCATTAAGGGACTGAGGCTCAACGGTTGTAGTGAGAGTGTTCGTGGTACCAGTACTGACGATTCTGTCCGAGGGCTGGGAACTGGTGGATGCTGAAGAAAGGGAGCCGTAATCGTCCGAGGTCAATTTGATGTCGCTACGCACTACCCAGATCTTAATGCCAACAATACCATAGATAATTATGATAACAGCGATAGTAAGCCTGTTCATAGTAGTCAATGTTGAACGATCGATGGAAGGAAATGTGGTCTTGAACGACGGGCCATACCATATAGGTACATAAAAGAGGAGAAGACGGACGAGCGTCCACTTAGAGCTTATTGAACACCAGATCTGCAAGAAAAATCCGTTTGTTAATGAATTGCGTCTTCTTCTTCTTCCGAGCATACATAATACTCACGATTACACCAGCATACATCGGGCCTCTTGCAGGAGTGTGAATGAAGAGAAAGATCAAGGCAGGAATGAATGTGAAGACGGCAATTGCCATGACGTACTTAATCTCACATTGTTGCAGTGCACGGCCATCGAATTGATGAAAGACCGCAAGGTAGACGTCTAACGCCATGGCCAGAGTCCAAAGTACATCTGCGAGTGGAAACCTAGATGACTAGTCAATAAGGTCGTGTATCAGAATCTTGAATTGCAGACTTACACTTGTAGCACAAAACCTTGGAACTGGCATAGTGACGAAGTATCTCCTGCATCAGGCCCGCTCACAGATATCATGGTCCCGACGCATCCGATTAGGTCACAAAAAGCAGCGTAGAAGATGATTCGATGGATCGGACTGCGAAAGGCCCTCGCAAAGGAGAAGACACCAAAGATTGTGAATACACCTAGGACTGAAAAAGCAGATGAGACCCGTGCGGCGAGGGCTATCATGTCGTGCTCCTCTTGAGATAGCGACATCGCGAAGGGCAATGCCTTTGCGGTGGAATTTTGACGCCAAAATTGACCTCAGTTTGATGAGAAGTCGGAGCCATCACGATATGTGGACTAGAGGCGATAGACTGCCTAATTCTAAATTACCAATTGCGTTGTTGCGTGATGGGAACTCTTTTGCCCCCCGATGACGCAATGACGCGGCCGGAGCGATTAGACCGGCAGAACCCGCAGGACCCATTGGGGCCCCGATTGGGTCACAAACAATGCAATGCAAACATCAGATAACCCCGTGACTTTGTAACTTTTTTGGAGCACTACCTTCCCAGGCTCACGTAATGCCGAGTACAATCTCACTTAGTCAGCTTATTGTTGGTTAGTTGGGCTGGCCCTCCAGCATGGAAATGTACACCGATATTCTCTCCTGGTCACGTGCTCCGGTTCAATGTGGCTACTATAGGACTGCCAATTTGGGCTCCAGGGTCATTATCTCGGCTGTCAGGCAGGCATAATCGCACAGTTACGGACGGTAGCCCCTAAATCCCTCTCCTAAAATATAAATCGATAATCCCTGCTAGTGCGTAGGTAACGAATTATCTAATACTTAATATTAGGGTTTATTAATATTAGTGATAGTACGGTCGGGCGAGACCCTATCAAAAAACTCGTCTACTTTGAATCCCTATAACTACCCTTAGGAATCGTGGGATAGGCTTTAAAAACGGGGAAATTCTAAATAAATAGTAAAACTATTACTAGCGAAAATCTAGATAGAATAAACCGATAGGAACCTAATTATAGTCAACTTTAAAACTTAATTACAGTCAAGTTATTGGGGAAACCCTACCGCTATACTAACGGATGCTAACTAAATTGCAGTCAAGTTCACTGCAATTACCCCTAGACCTGGCCGGAGGGTCTAAGGTCCGGACCCTCCACCCTCCAAGAGACCCTCATTGAGGGTCCCTTTTTGCATAAGCGTGCATAAATAAAGACAGCATTCTTTAGTAGGTATTTCTTTGATTAATTCTCCCTTACATCCAGTTTTTAACAGAGCTAATTAATCATGTCACAAAGTCAGCACTCTGACTTCGCATCCTCTCTTTATGATGACGAGATAGACAATCTAAGCTATCTTGCCGCATCAAACCCCCCAGCCACTCCATCTGGTAGTCACTATACGCTTAATGCCTCCGACTAAGACTTTCTCCGACCTCTCCGACCGGTAGTCCCCTCCTCTTTCACGCGCGTTGGACCCGACCGAAGGAAGGCCTTTGTTCTCTATGAGAAAATGATACATAATGACTGGGTGGAATGGTGGTTAGAGACTGATTATGGGAGAAAGAGTAAGATCAATTGGGACTCAACCCGACATGCGCAGATTTGGAGCCACTTTAAACAGGTTGCACATAGTCTAGATGGCGCACCAAAGGTAATATGCGAACGATGTGGAGCTATTCTTGAGCATCCATATACAGTCAACCTAAGGTCAAAGGGCCGGGTATAATACCATGGAACATCAACAATGCAGAAACATCTTAAGATAGCTGCGTGTTTAAAAGGCGAGCGAGGAAAGGTGAACGAGATTACAAAGTTTCTAAAGACTGGGGTATGCCATTTTTTTTGGCCGAAATATGCTTTTGAATTCATAACTAATGTATTTTGGATCATACTAGAGAGAGCCTTTAGACAATACGCCTTTTTCGCAAGAATCGTGGGAAGAAGACCTCCTCCAGTTCTTAACACTCAATCGGCTTCCACTTCATCTTATTGAGCATCCATCATTCCATCGTATCATTTCTCGGGCTCGCTGCGCTCCAATGCTACCAATAATCCCCTCTGCCGATACAATCCGTCGCCGACTAAGCAGCACCGTTAAAGACCGGCAAGAGAGCATACTTCGGACACTACCAGTTGGCTCAAGGATATCGATTGCACTTGATTGCCGGACGTCTCCTTTCTCGCAGGCGTTTATGGCAATCACAGGCTATTTTATTGATGCTGATTGGGCATACCGCGAGGTGCTGCTTGGATTTAAGCCTCTTCATGGTTCGCATATAGGTGCGAATCTAAGCGGTGTGCTCCTTCAAACTCTGATAGAGCATAACCTTGAAGGCCGAGTCTTTGGGATCACAACGGATAATGCGTCGAATAATAAGACATTAGTTGAGACTCTCCAGCAGTCTATCGGATGATGTTATTATCACTCGGATTCCATGCCTTGCTTATGTCATCCAGCTCAGTCTTAACGTGGTCGGTAAGCGAGTGAGCCATGTAAGCGAGTGAGCCACCCAACCACTTTTTCTCTATATCTTGACACTTTTATCAACCACAACGCCTTTATATTGATTAATCTCTAGCTTTACATGAATTCCTCTTATGTCCGATCTGTCCGCAATTAGTATATTGGGGTGGACGCCGCGTCTTCGGTGCTAGTGTGTCCCACGGTAATAGGCTTGGTGGAGCTAGTATTACTTGAGGGGGCGCCTTATGAGCTTCCTCGAGCTCTAATGCTTCTCGTACGGATAGACCGTCATCGTAGGCCATCTATCTAGTCTTACGAGTACGCTTTTGCCTTTACGTAGCGTTTGCGGCACGTAGCTGCTTATTTTCTTGCTCCAGAAGTATACCGTTTTGTATTACGATCTGATAGCCTTTGATAAGCTAGTTTAACGCGGTTTGTGAAGGCGATAGCGGACTTTTTGAGCGTCGTTTTAAGAAAGCTTTAATAGAAGATACTTGCTTTAAAAGCTCGTCGATATTCGCGGGCGTATGTGGGTAAAACGCGCTTGATTGACTACCGCGGCTTGCGGGAGGTGTTAGTGTCCGAAGTTGAATATTTAGCTTTGATAGCACTTATTAAGGATTAACCGGTACTAATCCTGCTGCTCGGAAGCTATTTTATATTATATTTGGTTTATAGGCATCGACGCGAGCTTATAGGTATATAAAAAGGAAATTAAGTTTGTCGATATAGTTAATCCCGAGCCGCATCTTTTGGTCGATTAAGCCGCCATACGAACGCTTTAAAACAGCAAAATATCCGATATTAAGAGGCTTAAATAGATACGAAGAATACGCTAGTATACAGATTAGGATAATATCGTGATCCGCGCAGATTTAATCGAACTCTGGCGTTAAATAACTTCTGTGTCCGTCGAGGACTAGAAGTCGATATCTTCTACGCGTACGATAATTTATTAATAGAATAAACTGTTTTCGAAGCTAGCGAAGGGCTATCTCGTCGGTTATCTATCTATTTGCACTAACTTCGAAGCGCTAGTCGGGTAGAAGGTCTTTAAACCATACTTAATTATATAGCTTGCCTTTAAAGATAAGTGTTAGTGGAAGCGCCTACCTCGAAGCGTTAATTGACTTAATTACAGTTACCTACTCGCGGTTTCCTGGCTGTAAAACTGATCTCCGACCGTAGTATTCTAATTGGGTAATCACTTTTTGGGCTATATAAAGGCCTATCGCGAAGCTAGTCTCGTCAAAGTTATAGATATCGTCTGGTAGGATACTGTTGGACTAAAAGGGTAAAGCTACCACGAAGCAGATCGTGGCCCCTTAAGTCCGTGGGATCAACCTTAGTCCGACTAGGTCAGTCGGTGCCAGACAAAGGTAGAAGGTCAAATGTCGTAGGATAGACTATAAGCAGATATAGCCTAAACGAAGGCAGAACCACAGTCCTGAGGATCAAAGGAAGAAGGTAGAGATGACTTTGGAAAGTGGAAAATGACTTGAGGAAAGTAGAACTGACTTCAGGAAAGTAGAACTGACTTGATTCTATCTGCTAGACAAGAAGGACGTCTTTATAGGCTAGGATAGCCTAGAAATGACGTCTAGAATAACATACAAATGACGTATAAACACTAGGCAGCAACATAATGAAGGTGGCAAAGAAGGGAACCGAAGAGAAGCGAAAAGAATGATATCAAGGATCGACGGTCTAAGCCACCCCAAAAGCACCCCCGCAGGATCAGGCTATGCATGCCTAAAGGTGGACCAATTTACCCCTAAGGGAAAGTGGTCCGCCTATCCTTAAGGGGACCGAGGGTCAAAGTCTGTTCACCGAGGTCCGAAGACCATGGTCGAAGTCCGCGGGCAAGGCATGCCCGAAAGCACCCCCGAAGGAACGGATCATTCATGCCTGAAGGCGGACCATTTACCCCTAAAGGAAAATGGTCCCGCCTATCGTTCGGGGGAGGGCCGCGGACCAGAATCAGAAGTGGTCAAAACATCATTTTGATAGAAGAAAAATCTGGTCACGTGATCAATGCAATCTGGTCTTATATGTTGAATATAAGGATAGATCTTTCTATGTAGCATTGGTCTATATTCCAATAGTATGTTATTCTAGACGTCATTTCTAGGCTATCCTAGCCTATAAATACGTCCTTCTTTTCTAGCAGATAGAATCAAGTCATTTCTACTTTCCTGAAGTCATTTTCCACTTTCCAAAGTCATCTGTACCTTCTTCCTTTGATCCTCAGGACTGTGGTTCTGCCTTCGTTTAGGCTATATCTGCTTATAGTCTATCCTACGACCTTTGACCTTCTTTGTAAAGGATCTATGTGTTCAGGATAGAAAGCCTGTCGGTTAGGTAAGGAAGGATGTCTGGACTAGGTGTAGTATTGTAGAAGCAAGACTGATTCTTGCTAAGTCTAGATTAATTGGAAACCCTCTCGATATAAGTACGAATTAGGTCCGAGACTTGCTTATTCCACTGCGGGGCAAACCTTCACCGCTAGTCCTCAGTATTCCTTTATAACTACCTCCCCCTTCTAGAGACGACGGGCCCTGGAGGTAATTGAAAAAATTTTTTTTTTTCTCTTAGTCGTTCTTTGGTATAACGTTATCTGATAGCACGTGACTCCCGGGTCGGATCATATAATAGGGATAAGCCCTGGGTGTCGTTATACTTAAGGTATGTTACGTGGGAATTATGAATAGTATCAGACTCCCTCCAGTTTCGCGGCAGACCCGGCCGCGATAGGGCAATAATGTTATTATGCCGCGCGAGGTCGTGTATTTGATTTGGCTAATAGCAATATATGTTTGCGTGTGTCTTTTCCGGTCGCGTATCGGTGGTTTTCTAGCGTGTTGTTATTATTTACTGTGGGAGATCCAGTGGGAGATCAAATGGGAGATTAAGTCTTTTATCCTTCGATGAAAAAAAGAATATTTCCTTAATAGGAAACATCAGGGTATGATATGATGATTGAAGAAGAATTGTAATTTTCTTGTAGAGAATTGCGGACATATTTATATCCAATCAACAATATTCTAGGCCTATATTAGACTTGCATTGTTTTAAGTCTAGGCCTGTCTTGCTTTGAAATCAATTATAGTCTAGGCATCATCAATAGTCTAGACCTATTGTCAAGGCATCATTAATAGTCTAGACCTATGTCAAGGCATCATCAATAGTCTAGACCTATATCAAGGCATCATCAATAGTCTATTCATAGAACACCTTTTAATAGACCTATTATAATTAGGTGGCTTTTCGTATTTACCTAACCAATTATAAAGATCATAGTCTTCTTGGATGACTAAAGGTAATGCTGACAGTCCTTGAATATGCTGACATTTACTTATATATATTATTGATATCTTTACTTATATATTTCCTTACTTCTCTTCTCTCACTCTTCCCCCTTTAATAACTCTCTTCTATCTCCTTAGTGCTTGTATTCGGTATTATTTCGACTTCTTTTTGTTTGTTCTTCGGCCGTAACTCGTTATTAGTTCGGCTTCCTCTTTATTTCTTTTCTTTTTCTCTATTTTTGTCGTTATTTCGCTCGCGAATTAATATATCTGCCCCTTTGTCCCTTAGCCGTCGCCCTCTGCGGGACGTGCCTCTGATCCCTAAGCTTACTTAGTGTGTTCCCTATGCCCGCCGCTCCCTCCGAGACTGGGATAGGTAGAGCGCCTTCTCGGTAGTTTATATACGCGATACGCTAAGTTCTGTCTTATACTAGGTATATTTCCGTGCTAATCGTCCTTGCCCTTCGGTTTATTTACCTTTTCTATTCGGTTATATTTTATTACTAACCTATTTAGGTTCCCCTTAGTATATAGGGTGACTTAATTAATATAGTTAATTTAGTTAAGTATATCGCGGATATTTAGGCTGTTATTACTGAGTCTGCTAAGGAGGCGAACAAAGATAGTAAGCTTATTATTAGTGACCTTATCTGGTCTAGTACTATTTATATCTATGCTAAGGAGGCAGTTCGCGCCCTTATCACTAACTTTCTATACTTAGTGTCTTGTCACTCTAGTATTTATAACCTAGGCACTATATATATTACTAAGCCTATAAGTTAGAAGCCTATTTAGTATAAGTTTCGCTAACGATTCTATAGGTTAACTTCGCTATTTATTAGATATATCTGGCCGATTATCTCCTTATTTCTATCGATAACCCTAGCCTTAGCGCGTCTAATATTTACTGTCTCTTATAGGAGGCTTCGCTAGTCCCTTATTTATCCCCTATAGATATTATGTCTGCTTCCTAGCGGGTTACGAAGCTAACCTTCCGCGATAATATTTTAGCTACGCTTTGCCTCTAGTACGCGGATAGAGACGCTAATAGTGCGGCGATTGTTAATAATATTATGGCCTATCTTCCTCTTATACTTTGACCTTTTAGTCTTATTTCCTTAATATATCGGTGTATCTTCGTGGAGGTTTTATATATGAAACCTTAAATACCTAATTTTATTCTTACTGTTTTTATAGTGGCCGACTTTAGGTCAGGATCTTTTCTTAGGATTTTAATAAACTCTTCTGCCTTTTCTCTTTTTCCTATAGTCCTATATTACTTCTTAGGTATTCTTTATATCTACTTCTAGTAATTACTAGTTATATTCTACGGGCTATCCCTTTTACTTAACTAAGAAGTATGTCTCGTTACGGAAGATTTTCTTATCCTTAACCTCCTTAACCTCTTATTTATTATTATCTGCGAGCTCTGGTATTAGAAGTGGGTTCGCGTCTAATTTACGCTAGTGCTAGGGCTTAAGGAAGATCACGGGGAAGATATTATATAACTAAGAGTATTAGTTAGGTAAGCTTAGACGATACGCTTATATTCCGACTATTATAAGTACGCGGAATAGTCTAATAAAGTATAGTGAGAGTTTTCTTATAGGTA